ATTATCTGAGTGAACATTAGTCCTTATCTATTTTATTTGCATTTTGCCTAGCGTCTTTTAGTCTCAACATATTTACTGAGGGGCTGAGTAAATTGATCTGCCCATTTAGCATTGAAGAGATTTTTTAGACTGTGGCACTTGGATTAAACCTTGAGTGACCTCATCAGTGGATTGCAGAGGGGTGTGGATCACATAAAACTGAATGGCACTTGTCTTTCAAATAACAAAGCCAGTCTCTTAAATGTATGTTCACAACTGACCTGTGACCTGGCACCAATGGCCATTGCTTTACAATCAAAATAATTAGCTGAAGGACAAGTCTGATAAATGTGAGGACCCATATCCTGTCAACCAATAAAACATTAAACATAACTATAAATAATTATTTAGTGGATAATTAACCCTAAAGTAATATGCAAGCTATAGCTAGCGTGACTTGGGGAGCATGCTTTCTAATACTTGTCCACCTTCTCAAATGTATGTGAACTTGAAGAATCCATGCTAAACAGTGACCTTTTCTCAATCTGCCTACCAAAGTGACTTCTTGTTAAAGCATCAAAACTGAGCAACAACTCAAAAGAAACTGACACAGAAAACCCGTGAGGGCCATGGATGGGTTCAACTGGACAAGATTGAAAAACATTGGCCTCACTTTTTTCAAGGTTATCCCTGGCCAATTTTTATCAAAGTGTCGGTTATAACAGGAGGAAATCATCCTTGTTAGGTAACTATGATTTTGCCAATAGAAGGGTGTTGCTTTGCAAATTTGAAGTTTAGAGCTTGTAATTACAAAATAACCAATATCACCTAATATTGCAACCTAGCCCCTTTAAAGGAGGTGTAAATCCTCAGTCACAGGAAACACACACAATCTTATTCCATTCTCTGCTATACTTGGATGATATAAGAGGAATAACTTAGACTAAGTAGCACCAACTACTCACATCATATCCAGCAACAAGAAGACCAACTCCATAAGGTCGTCTGCCATACCGCTGTGTTGGAATTTGCATTTCTGGTATTTGTGGTCAAGAAATGTTATGATGCTATGATGTATAATGTACCAGACTGGTGCATCACATTTGCAAACTGTGTATAAATTTATAATTGCAAAGAAGGCCAACAAAAAGGCTGAAGCTTCAAAGGGTCAAACCAAGGTATTTTGGAGTGACATATACCAGTACGTTATGGCTTCAAAACATACAAATTTAAAGAACTTTCTCTCCTTTAAGAAAAAATTTTTTCACAAGTTTTAAGCAAGGTAGTGGCACCTCTTTAGTGAATCAAGACGTCAGCACTCATTCATGAGTCACTTACTGCGCCTTTCAATAACATGCAGACTCTAAAATTCAAAGCTCAATCAACAAATGCATTTTTTGCTACCGTCAATCAATCAAATGTTCGGCGGCTCCTCCCAGCTTCCGACTACTGCTGAGCGTGAGGTAATCAAAGCGTTGAGCACAGTTCAGACAATGAAACAGTGCTTCGCAGTAGTCGGAAGCTGGGAGGAGCCACCGAACATTTGATTGGCAGTAACGAAAAAGGCATTTGTCGGTTGAGCTTTGAATTTTAGAGTCTGCATGTTATTGAAAGGCACAGTAGCCAAATTAGCTATTTTATTCAGCATTTTATCTCATTTAATTTGGTACATAATATGAAAAAGATACTGTTCCCCACAGCAGAAACCAGTCTTGAGATGGGCAATCTTCTGTCATATGCATACTTGGAATCAAGACACTCACTTCTCATAAATTTACTGCAGTTAATGACAAGTAAATAATATTGATCAGTGGTCAGTTATTTGGCATGCTAACTTGTTGTCCTTTTTTAAAGTAACATTACAAGGTGGTCAATAATTATTTTCACTACATACAGTCAAACCTTCCCTATTGGCCACCTTTCTATAGCAGCAGTCTCTCCAGGTTAATCAATTCAACTATATCCTGATCAGACCAAGTTACTCTTACTGAAACCCTGACCCTGATTTATAAAAGTTTGATGATTAATTGAGAAACATTCTGATTGGTTGTGTAGTCAATCACTCATCCTCTTCGCCCCTGTGAGTGGAGCACAAGGCTACAAGCTTACTGGTTGTGTAGTCAGTGCTGCATTAACAGGACAATAGGTAGTGGATGGTGCCAGATCTGAATAATTTATATTGGACAGAGTGTCAAAAGTGCACAGTGTTGGCTAACCTCCTCAATTTGATTATTTCATTAGCTCAAATGAGATTTAGAAATCAGGCCAATTCTGGGTCATGTTCGCTAAGGTTCTCTGAAGGATCTGCATGGAAATTCAAAAACTTTATTATTTCACCTTAGAAGTCGTGCATCTGCAGTAAGGCCTGCAATGGATACGGCCACATGATCATCAATTGGCAGTATTTTTTTCTGGTGTGCAGATAACTCTGATGCTGCACGCTACAAAGATAAGGGAAATACATTATTATGTACATGACACATGCAACAGAACTAAACCTTTCAAATCTCTTTGTACATTTCAAATAAGCTTGACTTTGTTACTTACTTTTAATGCAACAATAACTGCATGAGTTTTTGATTTCAGTCCTACTGTGGCTGATCCCTGAAAACAAAAAACATTCCGAGTTGCAACTCTTAACCAAGTATATGTTATGGTAAGTGTAAAGCCTAGAAGTCTGTCAGCTGAGGTTGAAGGGTGTCTCT